GACCCCTTGTGTTGAAAGACATTTTTCGACCCGAAAGCCGGAACTTTTTCAGCAAATGGTATTTTTAAAGAATCGAGACATATACACCTTCATAAATATTGGTTCAAATGTTGCTGCGCTATAGTATATATATTTATTATTCGGAAATCATACCATGAACTAATATCAGGAATGAGTGATTTGCAGTTTTAATAATATTTGAGGGTAAATCATCAATTATTCCAGCAGCTTTATCATAATTTATTAACTCTTTCTAAAGCCATATACACTTCATCTTATTCTTGAATCTTGTTATTTCCAATATTGTCACTCAATTTCATTTGTGTACTTGAACTACAAACACCAAACTTGTCTCTGCTCGTTTACAATGATGTAACAAAACTACATAAATTGTTTTGCCAAATAATAGAATATGGTATTTAGTTGTAAACGCAATGAATCATTGTAAGTTGGGCAATAAAAAAACAGTGGGATAGTGGTGGGGAATGGGTGGTTTTCGAAAAATGCAGTACAAAATAACTCCCGTATTCTTCAATGTCAAGTAATAATCAGAGAAAGAAACGTATAATAAACACTAAATGTTCTTTCACATAAATTAAATGTATATAGTCCGTTTGTCATTTTCTGAACGTATGAATTTGTAAAAAAGACGATGTTTTATTTTTAGAAATCACCACAATAAGGGTTTTCTGAAGCGATTTAGCAGGGTTGCCAAAAAAGTGATTATCTTTAATATTTTGAAAAGTAAGCACAGAAACATCACAATTTTTGTGTCTAAACCCAGGTTTTCAGGGTCGGGGAATAAGATGAAATGATTAAAATCATGATTACAGCATTTAATAAATAAAATAAATAAATTTTGCAAAATAAGGGCAGTCATTATCGGAATAATGATAACCTTCAATAATAGTACAGTAGCAGTACAATATTGGTGTCTAAACCTAGGTTTTCAGGGTCAATAATAAGATAAGATGAAATGATGAAAAAGTATTTAAACGAAAATAATTGTGATCATGCAAATTAGGACGGCCATTATCAAGTCATTGATTATCTTCAATATTCTGGAGACTCGCCACAGTAGCACCACAATACTGGTGTCTAAACCTAGGTTTTCTGGGTCAAAAAATAAGATAAAATGATAAAAATTATTAAAACAATAATGATTGTGATCATACAAATTATGGCGGTCATTATGAAATTGTTGATTATCTTCAATATTTCGGAGATTAATCAATAAAGCATCACAATACTGGTGCCTAAACCCAGGGTCAACGAATAAAAGGTAAATTAACAAAAAAAGATTAAAACAATAATGATTGTGATTATGCAAATTTAATTAGGGTGTCTATTATCGAATACTAAGAATAAAATAACATCACAATTGTTATATATTTTACTAAACTCAGGTTCTCAGGATCGGAGAATAAGATTAACTTACATAAATAGGATTTGAAGAATAGTTATTTTGTTCAAGCAAATCAAGGCGGTCATCCATTTATTGATAATCTTCAATATATAGTTCGGAGACTAAGCAGAGAAGTATTTGTTAATCACCCCTCGTAACTGCTTCATTGCAAATGACACATGTTTTATTTTTTGCTCTTGTTATCGTTGCATGTTTTGCGGGTTAATATAGCATGGGGTTCCTCTTAGAGATCAAAGGTGGCCAAAGCAAATGTGTTCAAGCAAATCAAGGCGGACATCCATTTATTGATTTTTTTTTCTTTTCAATATAGTTTATTTCAGTTTCTAAAGTAAGTACAGATACAGTAAATCAATTACAATCTTATCATATTCCATTTGTTTTTAAAAAATACATTTTTACATAAATTTCGAATTTTAGAGTTTTAACAATTCCTTCAAAATTCCGTTTTATTCCATTATTTAATTCTTGGATGTATGCTTTATAGATCACAAATGTTACAATACTAATAAAATGCAGTCTGGTTGTCATTTCCATTATAACCTATTACCAACTTTCTATATGTTATCTTTAAACCTGATATATTAAAGATATATTTCCAAACATTTTGGGAGAGTGTACATGTGAAAAGCAAATGTTTTAATGTACATACTTCTCCGCACAAACTGCAATTATATGTTTCACTTTTTCCATATAAATGTAAGTCATTTAGACTAGGAAGGATGTTGTTTATAATCTTATAGTTGAAATTAGCTATCTTCTTTTCTTTACATTTTATCTTTGTAAAAAAAAAGTTTTCCCAATTTATTTCATCGAAGGTTTCATTATTTAAGAAGCAAAATTCACGTTCCCATTTCTTTTTCATGAACCATTTTTCAGATTGCTTATTTTTCATAATTTCATAAAAGAATTTTGATTTTTGATCTCTAATTTGGAATAAAACATTACTTGCTTTCAATCTGTAATTTGGAATGTTTGTGTATTTTGCTTTATTGACATCAATAAAACCTCTTGCAATATTCATATGTAACATGGCCATTTTCATATTTTTATATTTCTCACTTTTCATATTGATCAATCCTTTATATTTCACTTATCAATATAACAGGTCCCTAGGTTACTATTGTATCAGTGCCAAATGTTTTAATCCTCTTGTTTGCCATGCCTTGCCTTTTCACTTTATTTTGTTTCAAACCAGTTTTTAGCTTTTCATGTTATGTTGTATGTTTTGTATTGTGTAACTTCCATATATGGAAAACACACTCACTCACTTGAGTTTGGGTGTTGGCCCAGCATCAGTAGTTGCTTTGAGATTGTACAGAGAACACTGTGTTTGTTTATTTGAAATAGACTATTTTATACATTTTAACTTTGGCATTTTGTTATCTTTATTATCGCCACCCACGGCCTTAGCCCCGGACATTACACATACTTGAGTTAACTTGATAAAATTCAGAAATCCAATTTTGTTTTTCCTGTAACTTTTGAAAAATGTGGTTGGTATCATTAAATGTATCCTCTATTATTAGATCCTTTACATAGACAATACCACTTTCAATCCAATTTCTAAAATACAGAGTTTTTTTTGTTTACAGTTAACAAACTATTACCCCATATAGTCTCTTGCAGGATATCACATGTTTTCATATTTTCAAGATTTTTTTTGTCTTTACATTTGGCATGAGCACATAATACTTGCTGATAAAAAATTGGTATTTTCTGAAAGTATTGCAAATCAAAACTATTCATTTTCAATAAAACATCAAAATCATTTACAATATTATCAAAATAGAGATATGGTATTTTATTCATCATTTGTTTTCTATCATATAACCTTGGAATCCAAGCAGCTTTCAGAGCATGCAATTGAGATTCAAAGTCTATCATGTTAAGTCCACCTTTTTCTAATGAATTTATAATAAAAGTTCGCCTTATTTTATCTTTTCCATCCAAATTATTGTATTAACTCTTTTTACAATTTCATTATCATATTGAAGTATTGATGCTGCATAAATCAATTTTGGAAGGGCGATTGATTTTATCACTGTTATTTTTCCAATTAATGTTAAATTCCTCTTTTTCTAAGAATCTGATACTTTCTCTAATTTTGTTATCCTGTTCAGCCAATTTAGCTCATAACATTTGTCTTTACCATGTCCAATAAAAATGCCAAGAATTTTTACCGGCGCATTGCTAAATCTTATATTTGCAAAGTTATTTTCATTCACTTTACTTCTCCCTAACCAAATTCCTTCAGTTTTGTCTATATTTAGTTCTAATCCAGAAACATAAGAGAATGATTGAATCGTTTGAATTGCTTGCAATATTGAATCTTTGTCTTTTAAAAATAAATTAGCATCATCCGCATATTGAGAGAGTTTATATTCATTATTGTTTATTTCAATGCCTTTTATGTTAATATTCTGTTTTATTTTAAGTGCAAGGACCTCTGTGCACATAGCAGATACTGGGCAGCCTTGCCGACAGGATCTTTGCATGTGTATATTTTCAGAAAACCATCCATTTTGTTTTATAGTTACCATAGGTTTTACATAGAGTATTTTTATCCACTTAATAAACTGTTCAGGAAAATTGAATTTTTTGAATGTTTCAAAGATGAAATTCCACTCGATACTATCAAAAGATTTTTTAAAATCAATGAATAAAATAGCGCCCTCTTTTTCAAAATTTTCAGCATATTTATAAATATCAAGCGTAAGTCGACAACTATTTCCAATAAAACGATTATTTATATAGGCAGTCTGCTGAGACCCAATTATTTTTGCAATTACTTTTTGCATTCGCTTTGCCAAAATAAAAGCTAGTATCTTGTAGTCTGTATTAGAGAGTGAGATAGGTCTAACGTTTCTCAAAAGTTCCCTATCTCCTTTTTTAAAAAGTAAACTAATTATAATTTTTCTAAAAGATGGTGGCAGTATGCCAGTTTCATAGGATTCATTTATAGCATTTATAACATACAAACTAACATCCTGCCAAAAGAACTTGTAAAAATTAGATGTAAATCCATCTGACCCAGGAGATATATTTAACTTCATATTTGTTATCACTTTTAAGCATTCTTCATTTGTTACTTTTCCAATCAAAAAGTTTTTGTCATTTTCATCTAATATTTTTGGAAAATTAATGCTATCAAAGTATGTAACAAGCTTTTCGTTAGTGCAAGCTTTAGATTTATACAATTCTTTATAGAAGATAACCTCCTCTTTCATTATCTCTGCATCTGAGGATACAGTTCCAGAGTTTGTTTTTAAAGATCTAATTACATCCATTTATTGATAATCTTCAATAATATAGTTCGGAGACTAAGAAGAGAAGTACCAAAGTATTGGTACCTAAACCCAGGTCTTCTAGGTTAAATGATAAAATTAAAAACCCAAGATTAGAGCAAAAATTATTGTGATTATGCAAATAAGCGCAGCCATTATTGAAGTATCACAGTCTTCACAGTCACATCATGAGACAATATCTTAAAAACAGATCCTTATATATTATGTACAACGGTTGATCATGAACATCATCATCTTCACTCCCACAGGCTTTGCCTTGAGCTTTACACCTACATGACATCTATCAAGTTATAACTTTCCACATCTTTCCACAGCATCACTTGCAAATGTGCTTGTAGCACGTGGAGAATTAAATTCATTTCGGTTGGAGGTAATGCCATGAAGCGCATAGGCTTGCCCTTCTTCTTGGAATATATTTTATAGCGAGCCATTTTTATTGATGTCCATGGTGGCTGGCCATACAGTGCTGGCAAAAAATGATACCCTGTTTCCATCAGATCTTCAGTTGAATCCTCAAATTCACTTAGTACCTCGTGTAATATCCAGGAAAGCCATATACATTGAGAGCATTTAAGAGCTTTAATCATTCGCAAAACGGATAGGACACGGAATCACACCTACTAAGTGCATGCAATCCAAAAGGCTACAAGCGCTCGTCAGACAGAATAACGCATGTATATCTATAGTCTTATCTATAGTTCGAGGTTTACATTTGAACAGTACAGACATCACAGGGTTGATTAACAAAATATTTCGAATAAAAGCGAAATGTCAATTATAAAATTTGCATATATGCACAATATCTATTGTTATTCTTTTATTTTTAAACATTATCTTATTCATTTTTCCTTAAAACCTGGGTTAGGGCATAACAACTGTGATCCTATCATTTTTACTTTTGAAGATATGGCCTCTCAAATTTGCATATTTTCGCAAACCTAAGTAAATCACTAAAAGGAAACACTCAATTAGTCTGTATTGTTAGTCTCAATTGTACTCCAAGCCTGATAAACAAAATATTTGAATAAGTGGGATATTTTAATTATAAAATATGTAAATTTTTAATCTTTTAATATTATATGACTCATTGACCCTTAAAACATAGGCAAGGACACAACAATTGTGATGCTATCATTCTTACTTTTTAAGATATGGATGAAATTTGATATTTCAATAATGGCCGCCTTAATGTGCATATATACTTTTTTATAGTAAATTTTTGGCAACCCATTTAAACCACTAAGGAAACCCTGAATTAGTCAGTAATTTAAATTGTACTGCAAGCCTGATAAACAAAATATTTTGAATAAGTGCTATATTTAAATTATAAAATATGCTAATTTGCATCTTTGCACAGTATCTAATGAGTTATTGTGGTATATTTTAATATTATCTGACTCATTGACCCTTAAAACAGAGGCAAGGACACGATAATAATAAAGTGTATTGCCAGCCTGATAAACAATATATTTTGAATAAATGCGATATTTCAACAATAAGATACCCGCATTTTATCATTTTTTCTGAAACTTTACAATTTTAGTTGCACTATGTCAAAGTACAATTTGTGAAAATTTGAACACACTCGTTGCAGAATTGACAAAATGCCAGCACCAGTCCTGTTACTTTTGGAACATCCTGTATATACACTTCTATAATCCAATGTAAATTAGATAATCATATATTTTAGAGTATAATACCATACAGGTATATTCTCCTAATCCAGAGAAATGAATACTGATATAATGAAGTGTTGGACATAAACCACATGCGGATGTGTCATTTGATGAATGACCTGTTCAAATTAAAAAGATTTGCTCTTATTCATTAAATCATTGACTTCACTACTCCCATAATTCAATCAACTAAACACGATTACTTCCTATTTATTTCTGCAAGTCATATAAGATCGTATCTTCAAAATATCATACATGAAAACATCGGTATATAGAATTGATATATTCCGATGTATATTTCCCGCTGCGTATCTCCCGATCCAAATAGTCCCGGGAAAATGTTTTTATTCAGTGTAGAAACACTCAATTTGTTAGAATATGTTGCTGAAGCAAAACTGTCAAAATAGATCCAGCACACCGTAGAATTTTTCTTAACCAAAATGATGATAAATTTCTCGAAAATAATGAGAACGCTTAGAAAACAAACCTTAATATTCAGGGTGTCCTGAAAACTTCACTTGTGAAACCTCACTTGTCATAGGATAAATTAGTTATATGATGATCGGTTTTGAATAATGATCACTGAAAAGATTTTCAAAGAAAGAGCGTATATCATATAATATTTATTGATGATATGTTGACATTGCTGATCGTTATTGACATCGCTGATGGGGAATTAATACCAATGGTAAAAATATCGTATACGTACTATGAACTTTCACTTGGTAAATAATAAAGTAATGGTTCAAGGTTTAAGTCTAGCTTCTTGGATAGAAAATTTGGCTTCGAAGTTATCTTTTTAATAGCCAATGAGATAATTTAACCGAGTTGTTTGTAACTTCACAATTTACATTTTTTGTTAACAATCGTACGAGATATGTGAGCCCGGGTATGTGAAGCTGATCTCAGAAGTCTTAATAAACAATAGCTCTGTCAAAAAATGATTAATTTAAATTACATAAGGTTTGGAAATAAAGTGCCCCGTCCATATTTCATATTTGATTCAAAAATATAGTACATTGGGCAATCATCACTTATGACTATTTTAAGTATGTTGACCATTCAATTAATCGATATCTAAACATTATTGAGGTAGGACACAAACCATAAAATAACCCCTGAAAACGTAATATATCGATGAATCTTTAATAAAGCTGTTCTTAGCAATAGTTCCACGATCACCTCAGTCTATTAATATTGATCTTTTCCATACAAAAAATGTTAGTTTAAAACAGATGTACGAGGGGTGATCAATAAGTAATGGACGCTTTTTTACACAGATGCTTTTTATGGACCAATCCCTTCGATTTTCTGACCAGTGATACATCATTCAATTAACTATCAACTCTGAAGATTTGAAAACAAAACATGTAATATATTTTGATATATCTTTATTTCCGTGAAGGATGTGTAGGTACCCCGGGACCGACATGACGTCAAACATTCTGAAGCTATTTTAGCTTGTTTAACATGCAATGCAGTTGAATGTAGGCTGAACAAAACAAACCATTATGGTCATAAATTACCTTATTTTGTTATGCCATAGTTGATTTTGAATATTTTATCATCACTATGTGGTATTCATGCCACATTCATTCAACAGGGCCCTCTACATGGGTTCCATCAAGTGCTACATGTACACAATTCCTCATCCTCTTAACTCAAGATTGTGAGACAAGGCTGAATCCATTCTCTGACATGGTAGCAAGATGCAGTTGCACACTGACAGGTTGTTTTATTTCATCAATGGCAATAAACCTGCGTCCTTTCTCTATAGAAATAAGTAGTATAGAAATGAATAAGTCACATGTGAGCAGGTCTGGACATACCCTTTGCATTTGTTTGACTTCACTTCTTAAAAGAGAGCTTCGTCTTCACTCTTTCAAACTAAAATAAACCTGTGAACTCACCGCGCCAATCAGTGTTCGTCGGCCAAATTTGACCGACATTCTATATATGGTCATTCCTTCTAACGTCATTGTTGAGTCCGGAATTGACCAATGACATGCGCATATTTAATTAGAACGCATTTGGCGTATGTTTCTTCAAGCTCGCTGATTGGTGGAAGAAAGGTCAGCGCGTAGGTCAAAAGTGATTTATTACCCAAACTGTCACTGGTACCTGTTGTGGGGGCGGGGCTACTAAACTGTAATATGGTCTCTACTAGGCAGAGTGTAGTTTAACTAGACTCTGCACGCAGGGTAGTCTGGACAATATGGTGCATTGGCCAAGGGCTCAATTTTGAGGTCCAGGGATATTGTTTTCTAAACATTTTGAGATCTGTGGGCAGGTGCATTGTCCATATGGAGTAGGGTGTTCCTTTCTCTCACCATCCCTTTCTTCCACAATGCTTTCTCAAATTGACCTGCAAACCCCTTCCATTCAACACTCTGACATCACAATACTTTCTGTTTATGTGTTACCAGTCAGCAAAAAATTTCAAACAACACAACACTTGTTGCATATAAAAAGTTCAAATCTAACTGAAATTTGCCAAACTGGCTAAAAGAGAATATGTGACGTAAATGTCGGTCCCGGGGTACCTGTACCTCCTTCACGGAAATAAGGATATATCAACATATATTATATATTTTGTCTTCAAATCTTCAGGATTGATAGATAATTGAATGACGTATCACTGGTAGGAAAATCAAAGGGATTGGTCTATAAAAAGTATCTGTGTAAAAAAAGCGTCCATTACTTATTGATCACCTCTCGTACTTCTTACGAATCAAAATTAAAATTTACAATTGTGATCTACGATCTTATGGGTATATTGTCACTAATTTGATAAGATACCTTCACTCAACAGGACGTAAAACACATAATTAACTTAACAAGTTTAATTAAAAGATAACTTCAATCTTAGTTTGTTAAAGTTCAAGTTCTGTATGGTGAAAAACTGCATTACTATGAAAGGATTTTTGGCCTGGGGTTCGAATAAAATTGAAGTCAACGTCCGATTCACTGAGAAAACCTTAAAGTCTAAAATATTAAAGTTTAAAAGAAAACTCATGTTGAAAATGCAAAACCTGAGATGGCCAATACTTCTCCGAATTGCATCAGTCTATTACTTGTATATTATTCGTCATATAGAATAAAATCTATGCCACAAATCATAAGATGCACAATATGATCCCGTCCCCAGCTCCAATTTCGTTACTCGCCTGGGGAAAACGTTTTGTTGGTATCATTTTGTTCCAGACACTCTCTATAGTAAATTTATCTTGGGTGGAGTAAAAATGAGTGGTAAACGAATTCGCTATTAGCAATTAAAGTGGCGCCATCTATTCATTTTCAAATATGGGGGTAGGGGTATAAATATCTATTTAAATGTAGGTTAATGGTTAAATATAATCAAAATACCAACAATATTTTATGGCAAACATACATTGGAATGAGCAAAATTTATTCGAGGTTGATCGGGCTGAAAATAAGGTCAAGATTTGAAGTTCAATATAGTGGCGCCACCTATTTTCGCACTTTTACCACAAAGAATAATTTATTTCAGCTTAATTAAAAATCACATATTTTTAATTCATTATGCATATTATAGGGGGAGGTAGGGGACATCCTATGCATGGCAAGTTATCTTTCTCAGATATTTCTATGAAGTAAAATAAATTAAAAAGAAATATTTGACATTTCCTCAGATTTTCTTGTATTTTTCAGAAATTTACCTTTTAATTTGAGGTACATGCATAATATGGTTTTAATTAGTCATGTTATATTATACTTTTATACATGTTGATCATATGCTTAAGTTGGAGGATGACATCTTGTTCCTTTATGAAAAAATCCCATAATTAAAAAATAATTCATTCGTTTTTCTTTGTTTTGTCTTCCATCTTTGCTGCCAAAGGTTCAAATAAAAAGTGTGTGTAGCAGTATCACAATTTCATTATTGGAAATCATTTATAGGGTCTAACCAATACTGTAATTGGATTTTT